GATTTTTTTTTTCCCCCAATGGTGCTGGTGATTGAACCCAGGGTCTCAGGCCTAGAGTACATGCTAGGTAGGCAAGCACTCCTAACCACTGAGCTACTGCTCTGTTCCAGAACTAAGCCTTTTAACAAACCCTGGTTGACTGGAATATCGTGGAGAGGTGGGAAAGCCACATTAAGCATGAAGTTTTCCTTGTGAAGAAAGAATGGGAAAACACTCTGTGTTGAGTAGTAGATCCAACGCCATTCTTAGTCTCTTGAGTCTCACCTACAACTAGCCTTAAACTAGTGAAGTCTATAAATTTCATCTTTCAGTTTTTCCTGTTTTAAGAAAAACTTGCTCTTTACAAAATGTTTGACATTTTTTAAAGATTTAGAATGATCTTACCACGGCTTGTATTATATATCTTTGGTAAGTAAAATGTACAAGGATATCTCTTTGCATATAAAAAGTAAAATGTACGAGGATATCTCATTGCATATAAAGTTCACCCCTTGTAACCTTGTAGTGATACAAAAACTTGTGAGCCTCTGTGTGCCAAGCCTTGTGTTGAATACTTACACGAGTCTAGTTTGTCCCTGATAGGTAAAGACTTATTTTAGAGCTGAGGAAAGTAGAATTTAGAAAAGTTGCCCAAGATTAGACTGCTGTTTTCAGAGTTGGAATCCTAGCTAAGGTCTGCTTTTTCTCCAGAGTCCATGTGCTTAGCAGTTGCGCTTTGAGAATTGAAAATGAAAGAGTGAGGAGCAAAAAGCCTGAATATTTTATACAGCTTTCATACCCCTCTTCTTCCACCAACCTTTCTGAAATCCTTCACTGATCAGCCCAATTCCAAGTGAATAAAAAACAACCAAAAAACCTTTGGTTTTTTTTTGGGGGGGCGGGGTGTAGAATTGCAAGGTATTTATAAATCATAAATCTTAATTCTCTAGTCCTCTAAGTTTTCTATTGCTGCTGTGACAAATTACCATAAAGCCACACAAATTTATTATCTTTAGATGAGTCTGATCTGAGTCAAGTCAGGAAGTCAGCAGGGTGCATTTCTTTTCTTTTGTGGACCATTGTTCTATCTAGACTTGCTAATTATAGCTTAGTTGTTGATGAACTAATATTAGATTTTTGGAGTTATGGAATATCTAAGGCCATAATAAATAGTAGCAACAATAGAGAAGAAAATGGAGTGGTGTTAAGCTGCTTGAGTATTGCAAATGTTTTTATACTCTTGTAACATGTAAATAACTATCCTGTGTTATAAGACTGCTTTTAATAGGTAAGTATACATTTGTCTCCTAAGTTTTTAATAGTAGCTGTGTAAAGTATATCAGGTAAGTTGAATTCATTATGAGAGCTTGATAATGAACTCAGTAAAAACAATTTTACTTAATTTTAACATTTGAATGTGCCACTTGTACTATTCCCATCTCAGATTCCTCTAAAACATTGGTCAGTTTACCAGTTACTAGGGATTTACAAAGTACAATAAACAATATTTAAAAATAAAAAATAATAAGCCATATTTAGTTTGTGTCTCCCAAAACAAATCACAAGTAAAATTGGTGCTGCTTTTTAAAATTTTTTATTATTGCATTATAGTTATACATAATATTGGGGTTCAGTTTTGGTTCTGTTTTTTTAAAAGTTCCAAGCACTCTGATTTCTTTAATTGCTATTTCATAAAGTATTTTAGTAATTCATGTATAGAGCAAGAAGGTATTAGAGTGAGTTGAGAACAAGTGTAACAAGTCAACAGCTAGAAAAAAGTTGTCTTAAACACTCAAATCCACTCCTAAGTTGAATCTTAATAGTTACCAGCCATTGAGAGAAATGCTAGCATATGTACTTAAAAGGCAATAAATTCAATATAACTCCAAATATCTCTAAAATACCTCTACCTCTATGAAATAATTCACTGTGTATACATATATATGTGTATCATTCCAAGTTGTCTTTTAAGAATATTTTTAATTTTAAAAGAAAATTTTTTCCAAGTAGGGGTATTTTTCTTTTCCAGGAATTTGTTGTTTGACTTTGCTTTATAAGTTTATATTCAGCATTTTGTTTCAGAAACATCAGAACGTTTAAAGTGAAATTATCTTAAAGATCTTTTTGTATCAGTCACTTTTATTTTCTGCTGAAAAAGCACCTATCAGAGGAAATCATCAATACCATCACCAGTAAAATAGCAAAAACAGGAATGTTGATTATTGACCATATGAAGAGTTTAAGATGGAAAAAAAAGGTTTCACCAAGTCATTCTGACTTACCAGAGAATCTCTAGGAAATATTTTCCAATTCTTAAATATTTACTATGTATCTATTTGGTATGCTTAGTTATTGGAATTCAATGAGCAACATGGAAAGGGTCCAACTTTATTGAGCTTGCTGTATAGTATAGAAGATAAGTGATAACATCTGAATGCAAAATTGAAGCTGCAAGAAGAAATTCCAAATTTTTGATTTGAAAAACTTATAGTTTATTGAGAATACTGAAGCTTTTGTTTATATGGGTTATATTGTTATTTAATTTATTATAAATTAAACTGATAACTTCAATATCTTAAACTTAATAATCCCATTGTGTTATATATTTGTATGAAAAATAACTTCCAAACTAACTCAGTTTAGTGAGAAGAGTGTCATTGTTTTCATTTTTGCATATTTTCCTTAAGACAACTGGATTATGTTATCTGCTTCTACATTCAGTGTTTGCAATATGGCATTTTGTTTGAGTATATGAAGAAAATATGGCTTCACATAGAGGACACTGGGCCACACTTGGAAGGGTTGCTTTAAAGAAAGAACACATGGCTTGATATGATGGGAGTGAGATTTGGACGAAAATTTCCAGGAAGCTATTGTAACTGTCCATAGAACAGCTTTCTTCACACATAGGATGTGTATTTTGAAAGGTTTGACTATGAGCTTCCAAAAAGTTTTTTTTTTTTTCAGAACATTTATCCTCATGATCTCAGTATCTCCAAAGTTCATTGCAATGGTGTGCACCAAAGCAAGTTTAGGTCAGAGATTTCCTTCAAATATTGGAGGAGTTATCATGAGTGGCCTCTGTTTAAAAACAAAACAAAAAAACCTTTGAGTCATTGTGCAGACATTCTGCAAGTCTGCATTACAATATATTCTACTTTTCACACATCTTAGTGTTAATAGGAACAATATGTGTAGAAACACTTTGTACCCTATTCAATGATACTGAAGTTCTTAATTGCCGCAGTCTGGCTGGGCACAAATCACAAGCCACTGAAGCAGGAACAAACTTTATTTTTAAACTGTAGGAAAACACTTCACACAGCTCCCGGGGAAACCTCCTGAACGCCACGAGGCTTGTCCAGGAAAAAACCCCAGCCGGAAATATATCTCCCGGAAATCCCTCCTCCTGCACTTCCCCAACCAATGGGAACTCTCGGGAAATCCCCATGAGAACTCCAAAATAGTGCGAGAACTCAAAAGTTGCGGCAGAGGCGGGTAGTAATGCCTCGCCTGTCAATCAATAATGTTGGCAAAATGCCAGGGGCCATACAGACTTGGCCGTGGCTCTCAGCACTTAATTTTGCTCCTTGGTCCTTCCAGGAATTCCTATAGATTAGAGTGACCCAAGTAACAAGACAAAACAAAAAGCAAATCTGTAAAAATTCTTTAAATGATAAATTACTTACTTAGTCCCCTTGAATGGGCTGAAGTATGCATAGATATTAACTACACACTCATCATTCTTTATCTGTGTAACTGTGTAACGTTTTCTCCACTTACTTGATTGACAATTCCAGTTTTCCTTTTAAACTTTACATGCTCTTCCCCATCCTTGTACCTTCCCTATTACCTCTTCCACATGTTGATGCTCCAAGGCAGGTCTGAATGCAGTCATTTGTTTTCTTCTTGCCACAATTGTCATCAGATATTAATTGCTGAAAATGCTAAGTAACAATAGTAATAACTACTTTCTGGTATGCACTGATGGCATGGGAGTGGAAAGTTGTGGAAATGCTGTTCCCAATTATATCAGTGTCTTGTGTTTGAGCAAAATATTTCTCAATCTTTCGATGGTGTGTATTATTAGGATAATAGGATAAAGTAATTTTCAGTGACATTCAGAACGTTTTATGGCCAGTTTTGAGGTTTTAGACTATAAAAACATGTAGTTTAATTTTAAGTTTGATCAGTTAAATAGGCATATGGTTATAAACTCAAGTAGTTGTTCAAGAGTTATAAACAACAATCCTCAGCACTACTCTAGAGGCAGCCACTTTAAATTCTTAAGATTGCCTTCATGCTTATATGTGACATGAATATGCCATTTTAAAAATTACAAATACTGTTATGTCTCAGTGTCTTAGCATAAAGACTTAAGCTCTTACCGACCCACTCTTCCTTACCCTCCCCATTCCTATGTGTTTTAAATTCATATTCAAGTTCATTGTTGCAATTATATAAAGATTTATGACTGTGAGCCAAGTAGTAGAATGTGGTTATATTTTGTATAATTTTTGTTAACAACTTTTTCTTAATTCATTTCTAAATTTTATTTAAGAAAAATTCTGAATGAACTAATGAAGTTTAAACTTAAAGAACTTAAAGAATCAACACATTTGTAGATACTTAGATGTAGGAAAAGTAACAATGTATAATTTACAAATTTACCAAGAAGATGTATTAGGACTTACTTAGACTGCTTATTTTTTATTTGTTCTAATTATACATGACAGCAGAATGCATTTGACACATTGTACACAAATGGAACACAAATTCTCATTTCTCTGGTTGTACATAGTGCAGAGTCACATCAGTAGTGTAATCTTACATATATATAAGGTGATAATGTCTGTCTAATTCTACTGTCCTTCCCATGCCCACAAACCCACCCCTCCTCCCCTCACTCCCATCTATAGACTGCTTATTAGTGGTAACATTTTCATTTACTCATTAACAATGTGACAGAAAGGACTATCAAAATAACTGCATTTACACATTTTGTATATTAAAATGCCCAATATTGTGTACCTAATTTTGTTCATCTCCATTATAAACATTGTATCCCTCAGATTTAATTAAGTCAATTTTTTGTGGATCCTGAAAAAATACAACATCTTTAATTTTGCCAATGAAGTCTCTCTTAAAAATCTCCTGAGTAACAACATTTACCTTTCGACCATATTCAAAGCCTCCTAAATAGGAGATACCATCGTAGTTTAGGGCAACAAACTTTTTGTGTGGATCAATGTCCTCAGAAATGATTAGACTGTTATCTAGGTAAGCTTTAATAAGAGTTTGATTTTGAATTATAAGTATATGGTGCCATTTGTTGCAACAGAATGTGGCTTTGCTATAGCTCATGGATACAGAGACTCTTTCTCCTAGGTTAACTGCTATTTTCAAGATTTTATTATAAAGACCAATAGCTAGAAAGTCATTTTCTTCATTTTGAGCTTTTCCCATCCATATAATTAAGCCTTCTGTTTCAGTAGTACTGAAATTTAAGGATACAGTTGTGAACTGAAGGTCTCTTGTTTTGTAATTTGGGTCAATGAATTTAATGTAAGAATTACCTATGAACTTTGCAGTTGAAAATGAAATTTTGTTTTCACAGTACCTTCCCACCCAACCTGAAGTACACAGACAACTGTAAGAAAATGATTGGCTAGGTATACATAGAGATTGGTGGCGACAAAGATTATTCAAACAGTACACAGACTGGTTACATGTATTTCCAGCCCAATGTGGTGAACATCTGCAAGCAAAGGTTGTACCGTTAACTATGCATTTGCCCCCATTTCTGCAAATGTTATACCCACAAGCTGTCCCATCACAGTCACCCACATTAGAGCCATCTTTTGCCCCTAATTCAGTTAGCTGCAGTTCTTGATTATTTATAATAACTTCTCGAATGCAACCTTGAAAACCCACAGGTTCACTTGCTATGGCCATGGGATTTACAAGATGTAAATATGATACTCCTCCAACATAGAAGTCTGTATTTGTATCCAGATAACTCATTTTAGCAGAGGCTTTTTCTGTTACATTTATTCCATCCAGGTCCAAGTAGCCTTCAGCACCAATGCGTCCTGCTTTAATCACATGCCAAGTGCTTCCATTAATAGTTACTTTTTGGAGACTTTCCAGAATGAGAGTTCTATCACCAAGGTTATAGCGAAGCTGAACAAAACCATTTATTAGGGAGATACATAAAAAGTCACCTGTAAAGAAAAAGATTTAATAATTTCACTACTTTCATTAATAACTTTTATTTTTGTGGCCAATTAGACCAAGGTTTGGTTGGGGGCGGGTGGAGGAGTGAGCATAGAGAATTTTAATTACTGAGTAGATGAATTGCACTTAATTGAAAATTTTTTTTCTTAGATGATTTAGTTGAAGCAAAAGTGCAAAAATAAGTAACTTGAATGTTTATTCCAAATCATTGGTCCTGTTTTTGATCAGATATTGGGGAGGTAGGCAAGGGAATTGGAATGAGAGAAGTTCATAGTGGTACTATCAAAACTAATAGTATATGCTCTACGAACAGTTTCTCTTTTCTTCCAGTTCTGCCTACAAGTACATGGATCCCAACTTGGAGATTTCCACTTGTGTGTTTTATTTATTTTTTAATATTTGTTTTTTATTTGTACATAATACATTTATTTTGTTTATTTTTATGTGGTGCTAAGGATCGAACCCAGGGCCTCACACATGCTATGTGAGTGCTCTACCGCTGAGCCACAAGCCCAGCCCCCTCCACTTGTGTGTTTTAAAGGTATCTCAAGCTCCCACGTTTATACTGATTTGTGAATTTCCTTCCGTAAACCTGGCCTCTTCCAGTCTTCCCGAGTTCAGTGAGTCACTCCTCCCTCATTCATTTAATTCTTGAAGCTAAGCCTCAAAAACCTCCACTTTTTTCTTTTCCAATTGATTGTCTTATCTATACTAAAGCTAAAGTGATATTTTCAAATGATTGTTAGGCCATCTTTTAATGCTGCTATTGGGAGAGATGCCAAAACTCTTCAACTTAATCTGCAGTTTCCCATTCTCTACTCTTCCACACTCCACTTCAACAACGACCTTGTTAGAGGTTCCATCCTTCTGCATTGGAGCTTTGTGCATGTTTTCTTGGAACACTTCTCCATCCTAGCCCATCTCATCAGGAAACTTATCCCTCAGCTCTCAGATCAAATACCAATTCCTCAGAGAAGTCTTCCTGCATTTCCTGGAGTTGGTCAGGTCCCACCACCCCTCCAGTACTTTTTCCCTCCTTCATAACACTTCCTTCATTTTATAATTACATAATTACATCTGAACAAATATGACCTAGCATCTGAAAGTGCAGGGAGATATGCAGAGGAAAAGTAAAAACATCTCTACACACATGGGAAAGAACATAGTTCTTCAATGTAAGATGGCTTCAGGAGTAGCTAAGTGGTTTACATACGAAGCCATACAGAAACCTCTCCCCAAATGTTCTCCTCTAGCATTTTCACACTCCCTTAGTTTTCTAAACCAGGAATATTTGACACTACGCTACTTTTCTTCCTTCTTCCTCTGGAGCGTCCTACTGCCTCATCTCCCTTCCCAAAATAGTGTCCTTGCATTCCATTCTCCCTTCTAGGCTACACCAGACCATTCTAGAATGGTTGAAAGACTTGGCAATTCTACAGTTTTACACCTATCACACTACATATAATTGTCTTCCTTTGATCAGTTTTCTCAGAATTTTTGAGTATTCAATCTTCTATGTCATTACTTATGTGATGATTTGATTAATAGCTGCTCCATCCACCAGCTTCTAGGTTTTGTAAGAAGAGGATCTGTGAATTTGGACCAACACTTTAGTACCAAACACATAAGTAGATGTTGATGAATAACTGGAATAAGGAGATATATCTTTGTAGGGTTATGGGGTGAGATGGTTGAGAATACTTCTTACACTAATTTGATTTAAAAGAGAAGTGTATTTTTCCTGTAGTATGAAAAGTTTCTAAAATTTCTCAGCAAAGGAAGTTTATTTAAAAAATTTGAACTTGAACAACATATTAAGTATAAGAAAAAAGAAAAGCAACATAACAAAAATAGCTTATATTTAAAAAAAAACCCTACAGATTGGATTATTTAATGATTCAAAACCCAGGAAACTAGAACAATGAAACAGTTGGTATTAAAGGGAAAAATGTTATACACCTTGAATATGCTTTGTGGTTTGCAAGTGAACACAAACCAGTTTCTCTTTCACAATTGTGGAAGAATTTTCTTTCTACTTGTGGTAGTAAATCCTATAGTAAAAAGCTATTTTTTACTATAATAAAAATATCTTAATGTGATTAGGAAATCTATAATATCACCTGCCAAGTTGCCCATGTGTTCTGCCATTGCCTGTACCCCATCCTATGCCACCCCCAGAAACCTAATGTATGTGAAGAGACTTTAGAAACAGCATACTGGAGAAATTTAGTATACTTTTTCCCTAGAAAAGGAAATCAAAGATAAATATGTTATTTAACTATTTGAATATATTTACATAAATATATTTAACACTGTGGATGACTAGACTTTAAAAAAACACATTTGGAAGAATTATATCAAGATGAATTCAGATGATTGATTGGTTCTTAACAAAATATTGGTAATTTTATATATCAAAAATCATTTTGAGTGTTAAATTTTTAACATACAGATGAATAGAAACCATTGTCTTATATCTTTTCCAAAATCTTCAATCAATACAAAATTATTTTATTGAAATAGGCTAATTTAAATTTTTTTTACATACTATTTGAGACTGCTCAAATTATTAATTAACCTCTAAAGAGATACAGGAAACTTGTTAATTGAGAATTTAGTGTTCCACCTATTAAAAATCCAATTGATCACTGATGTTGAAATTTGTGAGTTTTGACATTGTTTATTAACTATTTTACTAACTTTTAGCAGAGGCTTGACTATGAAGGCTTGGTTAATGTTTATATCAGACATAGCTTTTTGAAAATATAGAAAGTACAGGACAATCAGTTATATCTTATGTACTTGAATAAATGAAACATTCTAAAATAATGACACATTAAAATAATTTTATACAAAAATATTCTAAAATATGCTACTTGATTGCTAAAAAATAAGCTTATGTCTTTGATAATTATTTTTAGGTTAATCTAAGAATGTAAAATTTAGATTTGGGGAGGGGGTGTCCTAGGGATTAAAACCAGGGTACTTAACAACTCAGGACCCAGAGCAATGAAGTCAGCAGTCTATGGACTAAGACCTCTGAAATTGTGAGCACCAAATAAACTTTTCCTCCTGTAAAATTGCCCTGTCAGATCTGTTGATCACAGCAGCAAAGCTGACTAAAACACAAAACTTGATATTCTTATGTCAAAACGGACAAAATATGCATATAAAAATAAAGCAAAGGAAATTATGTATGATAAATTCCAGAAAGATTTGTCTTCATTTATAGCTCTAAAAATTCTCTTTAGATCATTCCTTTATCCAAATAATAAATCTAGGATTCATGTTCCAAAGTCATTCATTGCTCTGGGCCCTAAGTGAGGTAGACCATCATGGTGGAAGGGTGTGGTGGATGAAAGCCGCTCAGGACATGGCACCAGAAGAAGTGACTCTGCCTGATAAAATATATATCCCAAAAACATGTCCCCCCATGACCCACCTCCTCCAGGTACACACTTCAGTTACCACTTAGCAATCCCTATCAGAGGATTAACACATGGATTAGGCTGATTCTCTCATAACCCAATCATTCCACCTCTAACTTTCTTGCATTTTCTCACACATGAGCTTTGTGGAGACACCTAATATTGGAACCATAACACATGACTTAAACTTTTATTTTATGAGATTGTTATAAAATTGAGCATATACTATATATTTGGATTTTTCTAGCTTTAATTTCCCAAAACTTCTTGCTATTTTATTAGCATTTATATTTGGGGGGAAGCTGGATTTGTAAGCAGTGACAATCAAACAAACATCAAGTGTTTACATATTTTACAGAGTAACTTAAAAATTAGACAGCATTATCACATATTATTTAATAGGCTCTTTGAAATTCACTAGAATTTTAAATTTTTTTCTGCAAAGATTCTGTCAACCTTACCTGACTGTGCTTTTAAGTGTTGTGCAGCATAAAATAGGATGCCATCTGCAGCAAGAGGTTGAAACTGCAATTTAATATGTGTTTTTTTTCGAATGGGAAAAGAAGCAAAAGACATCCAGGATAACTCATTACTTCTGAAAGATGGATCACTTATAGATAAAGCTAAAAGAAAAAAGACAGAACTCTTAGAAATTTTATAATTTAAAAGTGGAATGTAGGTGAATACATTGAACCTTGGTAAGTTTGTGAGTCTGCCCTGCTCCACTAATTTTGGGCTTTTGTAATGGGGCCAATTATTGAAAAGTCTTCTATGACTCTAGTAACTTCCCCCTTTGGCTGGCATAGTGTGGCATAAATCTGCTCTAGATCGTATTATAGAGAGGCATCATATGCATAACTTAGATTCTAGGGAATGTTTCAAGATGATGTCTCAATTAGTGAAAGATAGAAGGGATCTCTATATAAATTATAGTCTTCAGTTTCTATGCTTTTGACTCAAATGTAGAGTATAAACAAGTCAAGATACATTTTTAAGTGGCAGTAGGAATGGATATAAAATCAGTTTTCTTGATTATTTAAGTCCTGGTCTCTTTAGAAAGTGCTCATTCTTAGGTCTGCACCTCATTGTTAAGCATGAGAAAATTCATTTCAATATTAGAATCATTAAACAGATTTACAGTTACTCAAATATTGTTGCTTCTGTGTATAACCAGATGGGAATTATGAGAGGGAGAAAGGAAGTTAGGCACATTTGGTAGTTTTTACCTCTACATAATTTAATAGTCCTTTCTTCCTTGCCACAGTGTTTCTTTAGAGTGTGCCATGGTTCATGACATGACTTCAGCCATTGTTTTAGATATTTAGCTATTCCCTTCTTGGGACCGAGCTTTTGCTAACTGTTGTTTTTCAGTTTTAGACTGACAGGTAACTGGTAGGTGTTTATCTAGGAGGTTGTTGATATTTATTGATTTTTAGGCAACTGTATTTATTCATTTTGACTTAATTGCACTTGAGAATCACCTGGTGCTGTTGCTAGGCATGTAAAGCCCTATATGTCACTTGTACAGGTCCTGATGCATTAGAGTTGGAATGGAATCGAGGGAGTATATATATTCTTAATAAACACCCCAGAGGTTGTTTATTTTTATTATTATTTTTTAGTTGTAGATGGACACAACAACTTTATTTTTATGTGGTGTTAAGGATCAAACCAAGTGCCTCACACAGGCCAGGCAAGCACTTCATCACTGATCTACAACCCCACCCCCCGCCCCAGGCATTTCTTGGACCATATTTTCATAAACACTGACTTAAAATAGATTTTAAAAATACAAGGATAGTTTAAAAAGTGGGCATCCTTTTGAAATTATTTTGTATTACTACAGTAAAAGGTTTATTGTAAAACATTCAAACTATATAGAACATTTATATAAAGCAAATAAAAAAGTGAAATTTTATTTTTCTTACTCCACTCTTACCACAAGGAAGGAACCAGTGTTAACAATATATATAGCCAGACTTTTTTGGTGCACATACATTTAATGTTTTTGCATATCTAGTACCTGGTTTATATTATATAAATAAGACCATATTATATATAAACTCTTCATAATAAGCTTTTTAAATTCAATAATCCATCTTCAGGAAAATTATGTTAGCATATTTTGCATACTGCTTTTTTTTAAATAGTTGCATAGTATTTTAAAATAGATCATTTTTTTTTTTTTAGAGCAGTCTAATGTGGAGTTACCCTGATTGTGTATACAAATACAAGGCTAGGAAAGTTATGACCAACTAATTCTACTCCATTTCCTTTCTGATTGAACCCAGGGCCTTGCACATGCTAGGCAAGCACTCTACCACTTTTTTTTTTTTTTTTTTTTAGACAGGCTCTTGCTAGCTAAGTTGCCCTGGTTAGCCCTGAACTTGCGATCCTTCTGTCTCCGTTTCTGAGTAGCTGGAACTACAGGTGTGTACCACCATGCCTGGCAGATTGGCTTCTTTCACTTAGTAATATGCTCTTAAGTTTCTTCCATGTCTTTTCACGACTTAGTAGCACATTTGTTTTTAGTGCTGAATGATAAGCCATTGTTTGGATGCACCAGCGTGTGTTCACTGGTGAATGAGGTATATCGTGGTTGCTACTATTTTGATAATTATGAATAAAACTGCTAAAAATATGCATCCATAAATTTTTGTGTAGACACTAGTTTTCAACAGATTTGGGTAAATATTAAAGAACACACAATTGCTGTATCATATGGTAAGAGTATGTTTAGTTTTATAAGAAACTTCCCAATTGTTTTTCCAAATGTCTGCACCATTTTTCAGTCCTATCAGTAAGGGACGAAATTTCCTCTTGCTCAACATTCTTGTCAGATTTTGGTGTTGTCAATGTTTTGGATTTAGGCATTCTAAAAAGTGTCTCACAGTGGCATTTTCTTATTTTAATTTGCAATTCCCTAATGACGTATGGTGATAAACATCTTTATATGCTTATTTACTATCTAGATATCTTTTCTCATAAGTGTCTGTGCAGATCTTATAAATTTTTTTTTTAGTTTTTCATTTTCTTATTGTGTTTTAAAAGTTCTTCATGTATTCTGGGTCCTAATCCTTTTTTGATTTTTTACAAGAATATACTCTTATCTGTCATTTTTCTTTGATGTTTTCAATAGTATGTTTTGTTATTCAAAATTTTTAATTTTTTATTTAATTTATGGTTTATACTTGTATCTTATTTTTAAAAGGCTTCTTTGGCCAACAGTTTTATATAAATATGTATTTTTTACCATATTGCTATACTGTAAATTTTTATATTTCATATACATTGGCCTTTAACTTATGTGGATCCTAGTGAACAGTCTGAGGTAGGGATCAAGCTTTGTTTTATAACCAGATAGCTAATTGTTTTAGTTAGATTTGCTTTGACCAAAACAGCTGACAAGAACAAGTTAGAGGAAGACAGGTTTATTTGGGGCTCATAGTTTCAGCAGTTTCAATCCATAGATGGCCAACTTTATTGCTCAGGGCCCAAGATGAGGCAGCACATCATGGGGGATGGGCTCAGTGGAGCTGTTCAGTTCATGGAGAGGTCAGGAAACAAAAGTGGGGTGGGAAGAGGCCTTGGGGCAGATGCATCCTTCAAAGGCACATCCTCAGTTACCACATCCTCCAGCCACACAATACTTGCCCACAGTTACCACCAAGTCAGTCCATTCAAACAAGGATGGACCAATTAAGTTACAACTCTCATAATCCAATCCTTTCACCTCTGAACATTCCCACATTAATAGGAGCTTCTTTGAGGACATCTTATATCCAAACCATAACACTAACATTTTATAATAATGAATTGTTTGTCTTTTTGTCTATAATTGTTATCTGTCTTTAGCATCTTATCAGTAGCATTCATTTTCTTTACCTTCTTCCTTTTGAGAGTTTGTGAGAAATACAGATCAGAATAAAGAATGTAGACAGACTACATTTTGTGGTGATATCTGTCTGGCTTTACTACTTTACCTTGGCTGGATTGAATATCTGGGGCATGGTCTCTGGAATGGAATAGACGAGTCAAGAGCAGCATGAGGGGGTCCCTTGTTTCCAAGCAGGGAGGGCCTGGGATGGTGCCTCAGAAGTAGGTTTCTGCTAAAATCACTGATGTTACTGGGTAAGTACAAGAGCTAAGAAATACTGTACACGCATGAACTCATGAAACAACTGACTTATCCAGTCCTTTTCCAAAGAAGTAATGCTTATGAAATAATGTATAATGATCTTTGAATTAAAAAAATATATTGTGGGAAAAAAAGAAAAAGGAATGGATTTTATTTGTGGCTCTGACATTGTTTTAGGAAATTCTCAGTGCATACTCATTTCTTTATATTCTGAGAAAGACTTCAACACTACTAGCTTATTATTTAATTAAATAATCTTGGGATAATTAATTTTCTAATAATTATACACATTTAACATATTGGTGCAGGATATTATTTCAAAAAGAAGTTTTTATTTGCCTGGCTTCAAGGATAAAATTGAACAGGAAAAATGACTAAATTCTGTGAGATTCAGATGTTTCTTTTGTGAATTAAAAAAAAAAAAAGAAAATCAAGAAGAATTGAATGTAGTAATTGAGAAATGACCAATTATTTATCATATGCACACCAACTCCTGAAAGTAATCATTTGTGGTGTAAACATTCCATATGTCTTTTGTTTCATTTGTTTGTTTGTTTGTTCTGAGATGGGGTCTCTCTATGTTGTCCAGGCTGGTCTCAAACTTCTGGGTTCAAGAAATCCTCCTGCCTCAGCCTCCTGAGTTGCTAGAACTATGAGTTTCTATGTCCAGCTAAGGGCACAGGTATTTTGAAAACATAAATCAATACTTCCCAGTAGGTTATCAGGAGGATCTCCATCTTCTATACTTACAGACCATTGACAGCTCTTTCTAGCCCACCACAAAAGATTCCCAAGTAGAATTAAAGAATTTAGACTACCTGACAGGGATATAACAACAAAACAAAACAAAAATCCTTTGACAGGGATATAACAACAAAACAAAACAAAACAAAAATCCTTTTTAACTTTGCTTGTGGAAATAGTAAACCCAACACATATATATTAGATGTTGATACATAAAGAGGGAAAGAGAAATGAGTGTATGTATGTGGAGTTAGGAAAGACCATAGTAGGAAGGTGATATTATAAATTAAACACCTCAAGGATGTAAAGGATTGATCCAGTGGAAAGAGGAAATTACAAGTGCAAAGGCCTTTGGGGCAGTAGGGTTCCTATACAAATCAAGGAACAGGAAGGAGGGCATTGTTGCTGTCAGGACATTAAAGAAAGGGAGAGTTTGAACAGAGTTATTCCAATTGAGTGAGAAGTTGGTAGCTGATTTCACAGGGAGTCCTGGAGAGGGGATGACCCTGCAGAGTCATTTAATTGAGGTATCTCTTCTTCCCTCCATCTCCACATCATGTAGTCATAGGACTCAGGCTACCACTGAGGAGGAGGCCTAAGCTTGAGCAAGTCTGAGGAGGGACTTAGCTTTGGATTCTCTGAAGGTAATATTTCCAACAGTAAAGGAGCAAGTGCCACCATTCTTTTTTTTTTTTTTAAATAACGGGATTGAACTCGGGGGCACTTGACCTCTGAGCTACA